CCCCTGATAAAATTGCTATTAGATACTAGTTTTAATATATATATATATATATATATATATTTATTTTATTTATTTATTTTTGTACCCTGAAGAGCATGTGACGGTGGGATGTAATGGAGTATCTTGATTGTGAACTGAAGTTGTTTTATAGCTCAGGTTGGTTTTGATGAGGTGTGTCTGATCATAACATGCTGTATATTTGTATCTGACATGAGACTGTCTCTCTTTGTAGGTGTATATGGGGATGTATTGAGAGTGAAAATCATGTTCAACAAGAAGGAGAACGCTCTCATACAAATGTGTGATGGGACACAGGCTCAGCTGGGTAAACAGCCTTAAAATGATTACAATTTGCTTGCAGAAGGAGCAGAAATTTTATATATACACCACCATATAAGAGTCTGGGGTCAGTATGATTTTTTTACAATGTTTTTGAAAGAAGACTCTTATGCTTAACGTAGCTGCATTTATTTAACTCCCACCCCACCCTCTCTCTCCGCTCCCAATCCATTAACCATCTTCATGATCCAACCATCGTTTTTCGTCATTTCCCGTGGAACTGCCTCGCTGCCTCGGATATGTTGAACCTCCACTCTGCCTCCGATCTTTACCTGTCTCTTCCTCCTCCGCTGCCCCCCTCTGCTGTCCTTTAAAGAGAGTTACGCCCCACTGCCTCTTTATTCTCTTCGGTATGTCATCCTTTAGCATCTTTTTTTGTCACTCGTTTGTTCTGTTCTTTTAATTTGATATAGTTACCTCACAAGGCATCTGTGAGGCCCGATTCTTTGAGTGCCTCGCTTGTTTTCTGCAGTATTTGGTGTGGTGAGATGAGACGCGTCATGAAAAGCTGCAGCTTTCCCTGAACAGCAGCACTTCCTTTGAACGCAGATGGAAGGCTGCAGCTTTTTAATGACGGAACAAAGCAAATTGGCGCCTTGTAAAATGTTGCATGCTTTTGAAAACCGTTCCTCTTTTACCTTTTTTATTGCATGTCTTTGGAGAAAAGCTGTTTAAAATACTTGGTTAATAGTCAAGACTCCTGCTGTTTTATAAGTTCATTCTTTTTTGGGTTAAAAATATTTTCATCCCCCTCAAAACTTGTTATCTTTCGATTCTAATTTCAGTCGATCCGTTGAATCTGTTCCTCAGGAGATCGAAAAACGAACTAAACACACCTTGCAGATTTCCTAAAAGCTGCAGATCCACTTGAACTGTCTTCTTAACTCAGTTTTTTTTCTTAACTAAGAAAATGTTCAGTCTTTTCTTAAAACAAGTTTCTTTTCACTCAATTAAGCCCCTGATAAAATTGCTATTAGATACTAGTTTTAATATATATATATATATATATATATATTTATTTTATTTATTTATTTTTGTACCCTGAAGAGCATGTGACGGTGGGATGTAATGGAGTATCTTGATTGTGAACTGAAGTTGTTTTATAGCTCAGGTTGGTTTTGATGAGGTGTGTCTGATCATAACATGCTGTATATTTGTATCTGACATGAGACTGTCTCTCTTTGTAGGTGTATATGGGGATGTATTGAGAGTGAAAATCATGTTCAACAAGAAGGAGAACGCTCTCATACAAATGTGTGATGGGACACAGGCTCAGCTGGGTAAACAGCCTTAAAATGATTACAATTTGCTTGCAGAAGGAGCAGAAATTTTATATATACACCACCATATAAGAGTCTGGGGTCAGTATGATTTTTTTACAATGTTTTTGAAAGAAGACTCTTATGCTTAACGTAGCTGCATTTATTTAATTTAAAATATAGTAAAAACAGTAATATTGTGAAATATTATTACAATATACAGTATAACAACTTTTAATATTTTTAAAAATGTAACGTATTTTAAAAGTTTTCAGTGTCACTCTAATTACATCTAATAATGACAGCGTTTTTCTAATTACAATTTATTTATTGACCATGTTGAAAACCGTTGCGCTGCTTATTTTGTTCAATATTCTTTGATGTATAGAAAGTTCGAAAGAACAGCATTTATTTTTGTTATTTGTGTATTTATTTGTAACAACTTTACTGTCACTTTTGATCAATTTAGTGCATCCTTGCTGAATAAAAGTATTAATTTCTTTCAAAAAATGTGACTGACGCCGATCAACACTGCAATAACTGGCTACTCATTATATTCACTTATTGGAAGTTTTGTAATGTCTTTAGTCTTTCATCAGAAATGGATAAGTTCATATTCCATAATCACACTGTACTTTTATAACCACTACAACGATGATTCACAATCAACAAATAAAGGTTAGCAGAAGGCTATTGGCCATGCGGTGTTTTACAGCAATGTTGTTGATATTAGATAATATTAGCTGTGCTTTAATGCACAAACTTAGTCATAAGTGTCCCAGTGTTTAGCAGTTGCTAGCACCCAAATTTGTTTTCACAGTATACTGATAGATGTAATGGGGAACTAGGGTGCAGAACGATGCATACTTTATATTTCATTTGTTTTGTAGTTCAGTATTTATTTACAGATGCACATTTATATTTCAGCGATGAGTCATCTAAACGGGCAGAAGTTATACGGCAGGCCCCTGCGCATCACGCTGTCCAAACACACGACTGTCCAGATGCCACGGGAGGGACATGAGGACCAGGGTCTCACCAAAGACTACAGCAGCTCTCCTCTCCATCGCTTTAAGAAGCCAGGCTCCAAAAACTACTCCAACATCTTTCCTCCCTCATCTACCCTGCACCTGTCTAACATCCCGTGAGTTTATACACATCCGCTTCTTGTTTTTCTGTGACTTTAAAAACCCAAATCTCACCTATAACTTTCTCCCTGTTTTAGACCCGCGGTTGTCGAAGATGACCTCAAGCTGCTCTTTGCTAGCAATGGTGCTCTGGTCAAGAACTTCAAGTTCTTTCAGTAAGTGTGTGCAGCTGTGACATTATCATACTCTGACATTTATGTAGTATAACAGTCATTTTAAATTATTGATACTGGTATGGAATCACAGCCAGTAACCGATAATGTGTGTGTTCTTTTCTCCCACATTACACACATATTTGTAAACATTTCGCTTATAATGTTCAAACTATTTAATTTTTTGCTTTAACAAAGTCAAATCTATACTACTTTGTTAAAACAAAATTGTTTATTAATTTCTGTACTGAGTATTATATAGATTTATTTCTGAATTAATTTTTTTTTTTTTTTTTAATAATTATTGTTATTTATCATTTAATAATGTATTATTATTATTATTATTATTATTATTATTATTTAATATATTGTTATCTGGCAACATTTCTATATCAAATTCATTTCTATATCTAAAATGTGAATTTCTGGACATCTTAGGCTGTTGTGTCATTCTTCACTGTCATTTTTGTCTTTTGATTATTGTCATTTCATAAATTGTTTCGTAAAATGGAACACTTTGATTTGTCAGCAAATAAAAAAAAAAACTGTTACAAGTCAGATCACCTATATGCACTATGAAGTCTACATTCTAAGCTGTTTTTATTATTATTATTATTTAGTTTTTATTATTAGTTTAATTTAGTAAGTGAAGGTTTTTAGTATTAAGTCAGTGGTTTTTAAATAATTTGTTACCTGGTCATTTTGAGTTAAAATCCAATTTTTGGCCACAACAATCTGTTGATTAATGATTATTGTCAGCACATACATTCTATATCAGTGTATCCGCAAGAAATACTAACGAATTCCTCAACTTTCAGGAAGGATCGCAAGATGGCTCTGATTCAGATGGGTTCGGTGGAGGAAGCGATCGAGTCCCTTATCCAGTTCCACAACCATGATCTCGGAGAAAACCACCATCTTAGGGTTTCCTTCTCCAAGTCCATCATTTGAGAGAAATATAGTCTAGAAAGGACTGGAGTGGCCAGTCATTTTAAACCATAATGAGTCTTAATCACAAAGCTCACTTCCATCATTCCGTTATTTTATTTGAGGCATTTTAGTGATTATTTACATACATATATTTTTTCAAGGTTTTAGAACGGCTGTATTATTAGTTGGGCCGAGAAGTTCATTAACTGTATGCATCCCTCCATCGGTCACTTTCAGCCTATTTAAGGCTTGATTTCTGTAGAAGCAGAGATGAACCACTTACAGGCCTTTGATTCCATTTGTACCATTTGTGCCTTACTGCTTCAGATCTCCAGAACCTCAGTCAAACATCTGCAACTAATGTTTGCAAATCTGTAGTTTACAGTCCATTTCGTGCCCTCAGGGCCAAACATTTATGCTCCTGTGAGACATGGGTAATTTCATCAGGCTGATGGTACAGGCCTAAAACTCTGCGCCTCTGTGTTACGTATCTCCCAGTAGGGTTGTACTCATCATATCCTCTAGCTTTAGCATTTATACTGTATCTTTAGAGATAGAATGTTTACAGGCATTTTCCTTCTTCAAATTTATGCAATCGTTTGTGTATAAATCCAATAGTGTTTGTCTAGATTTGTATTGTTTGCATACTGTGGGCCATTGCATGTTGGCTGTGGTCAGCGGATCATTAACCGCTGTCCGTTTACTGTTTGTCCTGTATTTTGTGTAGATGTTTAGCATCGGGCTTCATGTTATTGTGTGAGATAGTAGATTATTTAAGCTATTCTACTTAAATGCCCCATGTATTTTATGTATTCATGAACCTGTGTGTATACTACAGCTTGATACCAAAGCCTTTCCTCCGTGTACCTTCGTAAGGGACATCCTGACACCTTTTAGCCTCATGACAAACGGCGTGTACAAACATGTCCTCTCAGAGCGGCGTACGTCTGCTTCTCTGTAGATAACAGTGTGATGGAAACAGTTCAGGTGAATTGGGACGGCCGCCAGATATGATTGATAATCAACACACCTGCTGAATTGTGCACATCACATAATGCTAGTCTTAACAGATCGTTATTATTATTAAATTATTTAATAAATTATTGACAAATTATTATTATTATTTTCTTGGGCCTTTTTTCCCCCCCCCCCCCCCCCCCATTTTTTTTAAAAATCTGACAAGTGCCTTTTTTAATATGTCTTGGTTCACTCCGAGGAGTCCATTCAGTTTGGACATTCAGTTGCATTAGCATTCACAATTTTTTATAAAGGCCCGATGATGGCCTAAATTTGGCACTCGGACCAGATAATATACAAAAAATCAAATCTTCTTTGTTTATTGTATTGTATTCCCAGCGATTTCCAGATGCTCCTTGGATATAGAAAAAAAAGTATATTGTTGATTCTTTACAGTGGCTGGATAAAACCTGATTATGCATCCTTGCACAACATTAAAAACCCTCAATATACAACATCTGCCTTAGATTATAAAGTGCTTTTTCTTATAGTGGACAGATGAGGTGTAAATACTATTTTTGTATCACAATGTTAAAAAAGTTATGGGTTTTTATATCCGTTAAAACGTGTATATTTTGATTACAGCTATGGGCCATCATCATGCAAAAATATGGTTCAATATAAAATCAGGATTACACTGTTTTCAGTCTTTATCTTGTTCTTCACGACATTCCTAGTTGTACTTTTTGCCTTCAATAAATATTTGTTTACTCAAGTCTGTGTCCATGATGTTCATTCAGTGTGTCACAGCTGTAATGCTTCTACGCGTGACTTACAGAAATCACATAAACATACATTAGGCAAACGCAAGTACGCGAGCGTTTGGATATAACGTTCACAGCTCCTCGTTGTGTTTTACTACGGACTAGAGTAGCTAGTAGCCAGAGCCGTTGAAGTAGCTACCGTTTTGTTTGACGTATTTGCGTGGAGTATGATTCAGGCATCAAAATGATCATTGTAGCCATATTTTCAAAATACAACCGACATTGTGTTTTAAATATCCTCTGTAAAAGAAGAGTAAGATGCGCTCGTGCTCTCAGAGGGGAACCTGATCTCGTTGTTGATTCCCCTCAGGACACAATTTACCGTAACACTACGCGTGCTGTCGTCTTCAATCAGGAAGAGGAACTGGATTCAGTCGTTAAAGCCAACTTCATATTTGTGTGGACTGTGTAGGTTTTCTTTTGCCTTTAAAAAGCACGAACTCAGGCTACAATGACACATTTAAGACTTCTGCCTCTGGTTTTGGCTTTGTGGGCTGTTTCTTTCGCCGATGACGGGAGCAATAAGCCCAGCACCACTAAACCACCCGCACTTAAGAACACTTCCAGCATCAGCAACAGTACAGAAGTGTCTCACAAAAATAACACCACCGCCAACTCAAAAATGGACTTCAATCTGGACGGCGCGATGATAAACAGGGCTCTGTATGTTCTAATCGGGATCACGGTCATCGGAGTTCTGTATTTCTTAGTGAGAGCAGTCCGGTAAGTCATCTGGAAATTATGTCAAATGAGATTTTGGCTTAAAAGCGCTCCTACTTACACAGTGTGTTCAGTGTACAGTATATTCTTCTTGTACTTAGTATACAGACAGCGATTCGAATTGAAAACGCTGCCATGTTAAGAAACTTTGGGTATTGAGTCATATAACCTGTTATTTGATCTGGAGCGAGATTAACTTGGCTAATTAAAGTTTGGTTTTAGTAGTAACTTCAGTGGGACAAGTTAATCTATGGATGATGGACTTCAAAACAACCTTGGTTTTAAAGTGAACTCGATATTCATTTGTGTAAAAAGTTTTAATTTTGTGAAATTTTGTTTAGGGTGTAGGCTACACTCATGTGAGATGATTCTAGATTCATCAACCTTGTTGAAAAGGTTGTTTTATTCTACATGGAGCGGGTCGCCCCCTCATGGGCGCCGATATGTGTCACATGACCAGCATAGTCACACATTTGAGTTATGCTGCATTCACGCCATGTCGTAATTACCGTAATTCCGAGATGACAACAGGTGACGTTCAACTCGGTGCTGTCAGAGCCGTTGAGAAACAAGAGTTGCGACATGCTTTGATCTCGCCGCCACGCGGTCACGTGGTTCATGGAGCTCTCAATAGTTCCAAACAACTCCGCGCTGTCAATATGTTTGAATGGGTTTAAGTAGGATAGACAGCAGTTTCACTATATTTGCAGCATTTCTAGTGATTATTAACACATCATGTGCATTGATGCTGAGTGCTGACTACGTTTCACAATCGCATTTTATTTTGGGGAGTGATGAAGAGACAGCATTAATATTTTATCTAATATGCTTATTATTTATATTACAAGTAGCGTAGTATTTAGGGTTAAAATAGAGAAAATGTTTTTAAATTCCAGTGCAGAGGCAAATTAGAGGCGTTTGGTGGCCAGAAAAATAATATCCTTATGTAATGCCATGGTTTAACCACTAGATGCCAGTATGGCTGTTTAATAAATATAGCCTACATATATTTAGCTCTACTCTAGTTGCTGTAAAGGGTTTTACCGGTCATAATAGCTTATTTATTTATTTATTTTATGTTTTGCATTGTATATTTAGACATTATCAAACACTCAATGTTTATACGTTTTGCTTTTTTTTTAAATGTTGAATTTAAAAAGATTAATTACTCGCATCCCAGTATTATTGTATGACATTTATGTAAGAAGACAATATAAGTGAATGTTAAAAAAGGCCAGCAAATATGGAATTTAACCCAATAAAAAATGTAAATAACGTTTAAAAAAAAAACACAAGGCAACCAACTGGGAAGTCACGTTATCTAACTGCAAATATAGCATAACTGCCTATTATCTAAAACTAAACATTAACTATAACGCGTTACATAACTGCTGGCCAGATTTCCGAGAGGTAAACTAATGCGTTAAAATGCCAAAAACTGCAGTAATTTCCTCAACTTTTTGGCGAGTGTGCTTGAGAAGCACTGAAATGAATGGACTTCAATACTGGAGCTATTGGTTGTTTGGAACTATTGGCTGCTCCATGACACGCTTTACTTCCGCATTCCTCAGTTCCTATGGAAGCCTATGGGAGTGTCTGCATCCCAATTCGCATTCTATCCGTCCTAAATAGTATTCGAAAATAGAATTAGTATGTCCCAAATCATAGTAGGTTTAAAAAAAGTATGCCAGAGATTCCCGGATGGAATCTGTGGATGATGTTAACTGTGATAAGATGATTGACAGGGCAGTTTAAACGGTAACAGAATGCACATAACTAAGCAACAGAGCGTCCGTTAACGAAGCAGCTATGATGAAGTAGTATGTCACAAAGCTTGCCTACTATTCTTCTACATACTCAAAAGTATGTACTTTTTTTTCACAAATGATAATAAATGTGTTATTGCTAACCTAAACAAACTACAACAAAATAATAACAGTATGAACGCTTACATAATGTTTTTATATTATAGTACATCTATATGTTAACGACCAAACGGATGTTTATAAAAGTTTACATTAATGTTATCTGTGTTATATTTCATCTGCAACAGCAAATAAATATTTTTTTACCAGGTTAAATGTTGAATATTAGTAACTCAAACCCCTTTTTCTAAGCCTCTCTACCTAACCGCCGGTCGCGCACATCCGCCGTGTTTGTAGTTCTGGACAGAATCCTTCACCAAAGCGCAATGGATTGTGGGCAATATTAGCCATTAGAGTGTGCACGGATCCACACTTAAAAAATCAACCTGAAATAGTAGACCATCCGGGGACTTTTGGCATACTTTTTTCAACATACTATGCTTTGGGACATGCTTATTCTAATCTCACATACTATATAGGATGGATAGTATGAACATTGAGACGCAGGGTTATACTTTCCGCGAGTGCGCAAGGGTCCGCTAGGTTCTGCGTGACGAAAAAATCGTCATTGGAGGGTGTACGCGAAGGCTCTTTCTGGACATCCACGTGCCTCTCATTTTTTTGGTCACTAGGCTAGAAAAGCACCAACTGCGCATGCGCTGGAAAAGCAACATGAACGTCGAATTTGAAGAGAGGCTGTGTGAAGAAGTCTGTCGCTACCGGCACCTCTACAATCCGTTGATTAAACAATATAAAGACAGCAAGATAACCGAGGCCCTTTCAAGGAAAGTATGTGGGCATCCACTAACAATAACAATGTATTTAGTTTATAAGCTGACATTTAAGTCATTATTCACTTATAAATCCAATAAAACTCCAAAATGAAGTACAACAGTCATGTTGACTTTTCATGGTGCTTTTTTTGTGATTTTTTTGAAACTTTAGCCTCATTCTGTTTTGTGGAAAGAGAAAGTCACACAGATTTCTTCAAGCGTCTCTCATTTGTGCTCTCATTCCAGTCTGAAGAAAACCGGTGTTCAGAGAAAGAAATACGGGCTCCTGTCAAACTATGACGACACAATGGAAATGGCCCACCTGGAAAGCGACGAGGACGATACTACCGTTTATGAAGCCAAATCTTTGAGAAGGTAGTCAAACACTAGATTATTCCACCAGATCTTTCAAATATTGACATGAGTAAAGATCAGTCTCTGTTCAGCTTTAGACTTTGGACTGTGATGCTGGAAATCTATACCTCAGATATGAACAGCTTTTCTTTCCTGCTTCTTTCAACAGATGAATCTCTGGGGGGGATTGACACCACCAGAAATCGAATGTGATGAAGACAATCCCATTATTTCCACCAAAATGGTTGTCGAATGATTTTGTTGTCATTTCCTACAGCCCAGTCAGGATGCTTGGATGCCTTTTTCCAAGATTTAAGTGGAATGTGTAGGTAAACTAGATATATTTTGGACTGATATAACCAAATAGATCTTCTTGGAAATTTCTCAGAAGGTCATACATTTTGTTCTGGAAAGGAAGTTGGCAGAAGTTCAAAACTGTGTTTTGTGCCAAAGTTACTTATGCATCATTTTTAGGGGTTTGAAACTCTTGTCTAAGTTGATGTGTTAATAATTAATATTGTAAAAGACTGCCCCTCTTTTCCAATTTACCAACATTGAAAGGCCTGAAAGTTGTTTGCTAATTTATGGGACTATTATATTGTTTGGACTATCTGAATTTATAATTGTTTTAGGTGTACAGTCAAATTATGATAGATATTCTGTTTTTTGTTTTTTTTTCAAATATCCTCGTAGTTTCCTTTTTTTTCATTTTTTTGTCTTTTCCTTTCTTGTGTCTTTTTTCTGGGTATTGATTTCAGATGTGAATTCTGGAATAAGTGTGATAAATTCACAGATTTTGTTTGTATGAATCTGCCAAATACCAGCATAAGTAAGTGATGCACTTTAATTTTTAGGGTTTCGAAACTACAACAGCAAAACCTGGTATTTCATGACATGGCAACACTCCTGACCACGTCATCATCGTACCATTTCAGGGTTCGTTTCATAAATTAAAAGTAGTTATACTTTTAGAGACTAAACATTCCCAAACGATTTTGGTTCCAAACGTAGACATGCTTCAAAGCTCAGTTCTGCGTTGATTGTTATCAGCATGTTAACTGAGATTTTGTGAGACTCACCATGCATTGTTTGTTTGTTTTTTTTTCAATGGGTGTGATTCTGCATTGTGTAAAGGTGGCAAATTAATTCGCTGTCAAAACAGCAAGCCATCTTGAGGTATATGGATCCAATATCAGCGTTCTCAAATTTCCAAC